TCCGCACGTATCACTAATTTACTAACAGACATATCAGCCTGGATGTCACACTACTTCCTCAAACTCAATCTATCCAAATCTGAGCTCACAATTTTTCTTCCCCAACGTGCCTCTGATTTCTCTGTCTAGATCAATGGCACAATTATCAACCCATTCCTGCATGCCAATGCTCTAGGTGTAATCCTAGACTCTGAACTATACTTTCGGACCCACATTCAATCACTGTCTAAATCTTGCCGCCTTATTCCTCCACAACATCTCCAAAATACACTCCTTCCTACTCAACAACACCACAAAAGCTCCTAGTTCACTCCCTGGTCATCTCTCACCTCGACTACTGCAACTCCCTCTTCACTGGATTACCTTTACATTGGCTATCCCCCCTTCAGTGCATCATGAATGCTGCTGCCAGGCTCATCCACCTTACCAGCTGTTCAGTGTCTGCTACTCCTCTCTGTCAAACCCTCCACTGGCTTCCACTCACCCAAAGAATTAAGTTCAAAATACTAACAACTTATAAAGCTATCCACAACTTGGCCCCCAGCTACATCAATAACCTAGTCTCAAAATACCAACCAAATCCTTTTCTTCATTCCGCCCAAGACCTCCTGCTCTCTAGCTCCCTCGTCACATCGTCCCACACTTGCCTCCAGGATTTTTCCCAAGCCTCTCCTAACCTATAGAACTCCTTACCCCAATCTGTCCAACTATCTCCTACTCGGTTCACTTTTAGACGATCTCTGAAAACCCTTCTCTACAGAGAAGCCTATTTTGCCCCCACGGAACTGTACTTTTATTTTCTCCATCAGCTCCTTCCCTACAGCTAGTACCTTCTGTATCATTTGACCCTCCCTCTTAGATTGTAAGCTCTAGCAAGCAGGGCCCTCCGATTCCTCCTGTATAAATTGTATTATAACTATACGGTCTGCCCTCATGTTGTAAGGCTCTGTGCAAACTGTTGGCACTATATAAATATTGCATAATAATTAAAGTGAGTACTATAGTTGAGTATTTATTAGAAAAATCATCGAAAGCATTTTAAAAAGCTCATGTCAAAACAGCCAAGTTCCAGAACTAAGTAATGAATCTGAGTTATTATTGGAATGCCAAATCTCTTATACAGCTTGTCTTTGTAGGCGTAATTGCTAACTGACAGATTAAATTGTCATTAACACTGCTACAAAAGCTAGAAGATCTTGTTACTACATAGCGAGACTTGCTAGTTGAGATAGGCGCACACAGCAGGGAAGCCTTCCCTCTTCCATTACATTGGCAGTCCATTAGGAATTTGTGGACATTAGTAGTCAAAGTGTTTAGAGTGTTTTTAGGACATGAATGAGTCATAGTCATTCTTTTTGGGCTTTAAATGGCTTTGTGGGGGATGAGGAAGCTCCTTAAAAACAGACGGTTGTGCAGTGGTGTTATTCCCCCCCCCCCCCCCCCCCGATAACCCAGCTAACTTCCATCATTGAAACTGAATGTGGCTGTAGACATGCCATGGCTGCAGTGCTTTGCATAATTTTGACTTAATTTGCAATTCAACTCTTTGCTCTTAACTTGAAATGTTAGACAGGGTCAATTTTGGTTTTGTTGCAAGCTAGCTGCTAAGTCAGCTGGGAATTTTTGTTTGTTTTTGATGTGTGTTGCCCTTCCATTTGCTCCTTGCTGCAAAGGTTAGTTACAGGTTGGGGTGGTTGCCATTTGTATAGTTGGTGAATTGGTGCATGGACACACTAGATACCTTCAGCTGCCATTACACCCTTGCTGGGTGTCCCGTGCACCCTTCATACCATTAAGGAGGGGTGGGCTCCCTCCAGGCAAACCTGCCCTTAATTTATTCACTGCTATATGTGCTCCAAATTGAGGGACTCTCAAAATCACAGAGTTAGGACTGCAGTAAACTGTAGTGTGTTGACATGGCCACTGGGACTTAATCATATACAGTTGTGTTCAAAATAATAGCAGTGTGTTGAAAAAAGTGAATAAAGCTCAAAATCATTCTAATAGCTTTTATTTCCATACACACAAATGCATTGGGAACACTACACATTCTATTCCAAATCAAAACATGAAGAAACATATATCAAATGTGTTCCTCTAAAAAAAACTGAAGAAAAGTGAATATTAGACTGTTCTAAAAAAAATAGCAGTGTTTGTATTCTTCTTTACAAACTCAAACATTCACTATATAAACTGAAAAATGTTTGAAGATTTTGCTTTCCTTTGAATCACTTAATTAATATTTAGTTGTATAAGCACTGTTTCTGAGAACTGCTCTACATCTGTGTTGCATGGAGTCAACCAACTTCTGGCACCTGTGAACAGGTATTCCAGCCCAGGATGATTGGACTACATTCCACAGTTCTTCTTTATTTCTTGGTTTTGCCTCAGAAACTGCATTTTTGATGTCACCTCACAAGTTTTCTATTGGATTAAGATCCGGAGATTGGGCTGGCCACTCCATAACTCCGTCAATCTTGTCGGTCTGGAACCAAGATGTTGCGCGTTTACTGGTGTGTTTGGGGTCGTTGTCTTGTTGGAACACCCATTTCAAGGGTATTTCCTCTTCAGCATAAGGCAGCGTGACCTCTTCAAGTATTCTGATGTATTCAAACTGATCCATGATCCCTGGTATGCGATAAATAGGCCCAACACCGTAGTATGAGAAACATCCCCATATCATGATGCTTGCGCCACCATGCTTCACTGTCTTCACAGTGTACTGTGGCTTGAATTCAGTGTTTGGGGGTCGTCTGACAAACTGTCTCCGGCCACTAGACCCAAAAAGAACAATCTTACTTTCATTGGTCCACAAAATGTTGCGCCATTTCTCATTAGGCCAGTCAATGTGCTCTTTGGCAAATTGTAACCTCTTCAGCACGTCTTTTTTTTTTTTTTTTTTTTTAACAGTGGGACTTTGTGGGGCTTCTTGCAGATAGCTTGGCTTCACATAGGCATCTTCTAATTGTAACAGTACTCACAGGTAACTTTAGACCTTCTTTGATCTTCCCGGAGCTGATTGCTGGCTGAGTCCTTGCCATTTTGGCTATTCTTCTATCCATTCGAATGGTAGTTTTTCGCTTTCTTCCACGTCTTTCAGGTTTTGGTTGCCATTTTAAAGCATTTGCGATCATTTTAGCTGAGCAGCCTATCATTTTCGTTCTTCTGAACAATGTCTGGAACAACCCATTTTCCTCAGAATTTCAGAGAGAAATGCACTATAACCAGCATGTACAACAATTGCTGCCTTCCTTCCTTAAATAAGGGCAATAATTGCCACCTGTTTTTCAAAGAATGAATGACCTCACTAATAGAATTCCACACTGTGTGATTCAATGACACAGAGTCGGTAGCATGCATGTCATGACTGTTGGGTCTGTTGGATTTCTATTACTCTACTACATCTGCTAGTAAATTATTTGCCATTTAGAAATATCATTTCTACCAAAAACAGTGATTGATCAGGTTAGTGATGTCTGACTGCTATTATTTTGAACACAACTGTATTTGCAAATGTGTGCAACTAAATTCCATGTTTTCAACGTGAACGGTTAGACAGGGTCAATCCAGTTTTGTTGCAGGCTAGCTGGTTAGTGAGCTGGGAATCTTTGTTTTTGATGTGCTTTGTCCTTCCATGTGCTCCTTGCTGCAAAGGCCAGTTATAGGTTGGGGTGGTTGCCATTTGTTTGTATGCACTGTGCAGCCTGGATCTAGTCAGTTAGCAAGAACTGTTACTGCACTGTTGGACTGCGATATTGAATGTGTCCAGTAAAGTTTTGTTAACTTTTAAGAGCCTGGTCTGAAGTTGCTGCAAAGGGGTGCATGGTAGTACATAGCCTAGCCAGAGGAAAAGGGCCTGTAATTATACACGGGGGTGAAGAGGAAAGAACGGAAGGCTATCACAAAGGGTTAACTCAGCAGGGAAGTTGGCGGAAAGTGTATACATGCTACAGGTAACCATGAACTGGTGGGAATGTATGGGGTTCTCATCCTACTTATTCAACTGCATCTTTAACGTTACTTACAATTCTACTTACTCCTCTCCTCTGCCTTTCTCTGTTGGGTTCCCCCAAGGTTCGGTTCTTGGACCTCCCCTATTCTCGATCTACATCTCCTCACTGGATCAGTTTATAGCCTCCCATGGCTTCCAATACCAGCTCTATGATAAGTTAACTGTTAAGAGCCTGGTCTGAAGTTACTGCAAAGGGGTGCATAGTGGTACATTACGTAGCCAGAAGAATGGGGCCTGTAGTTATACACAGGGGTGAAGAGGAAAGAACAGAAGGCCATCATGAAGGGTTAATTCAGCAGAAAAGTTGGCGGAAAGTGTGTACTTGCTACAGGTAACCATGAACTGGTGGGAATATATGGGGTTCTCATGCTACTTATTCACGGCACCTTTAACATTCCTTACAATTCTACTTCCTCCTCTCCCTTTCTCCATCGGGGTTCCCCAAGGTTTGGTTCTTGGACCTACCCTATTCTCGAGGGGGGGGGGGGGGGGGGGAGTTCTGTAGTCCTTAGGGAGCACTAAAAAACAATAGAATAGATAATAGTGCAACACAGGGAGGGAGCACAACACATTATCGGCTCATAGAAACTCATAGGATCAACAGGTAATTTTTTTTACCTATTAAAACAGATAAAATACCTTTCATGGTAAAGTTAACCAACTGAAAGGGAGCACATAAGGATCATATCCACTTTAAAGGTACAGAACACAAATCACATTAAAGTAAGTTATATATAAAGTAAAACCAAACCAAATAAGCTAAACTAACCTAAACAAAACCCCAATGAAATGAAAAAAAAACACCTCCTTAAAAAAAAAAAAAAAAAATCACTGAAGCGCATCCTTAATCGCTGCAGCTTTTTATATATCTGAATTAGAACTTTGATGATTATTGAAATTACTTATTTTTATAGGCCAAAAATAGTCTAAACCTTTTCTCTTTCCTCAGGTTCGTTTCGTGAGCAGCACCTGGGTTTTCGGTAAGCTCATGTGTCACGTGAGCCGGTTTGTCCAATACTGCTCAGTCCACGTATCTGTCCTTACCCTCACCGCCATCGCTCTGGACAGACATCAGGTGAGACACCTAAACTGGATTATTTGCATCCTGGACCCTCCTAGGACCCAAGGCCCTTGATAGGGGCAAGACACTCTAGTCTGCCTAGCCTCAAGGCTTGGCGGACTCCTTTCCTCATGATCAACCTCAGATGACCACAGAGTACTAGATTAGGGGTTCTCTTGAAGAGAGACCCCCCCAAGGACAGAGCAGGAAGGAACCTAACAGCCATGTATCCTCCCCGTAGATTTCAGAGTAGGCCCACACCCTGCCCTCCTGGGGAGGGAAAAAAAAAAAAAAAGACTCAAAAATAACTGCAGTGACATACCTGAGGAGAAGAATCGAATGAAAGTTCCAATGTGCAGTACAATGGCTAGGCATTGGAGCCTGATAACAAAAACTGTCCCAGTTCTGGCCAAAAAGTTTAGGTGAAGTGCAGAAATAAAGCAAGAGGTGTCATGGCCTAGTGCAGTTTTACGCAGTAGGGTCCCCAACCTATAGTTTTACTCCAGCACTGCCAGGTCGCCAATCCCAGAGGGGCTTCTGATACCGTAAGCTCTGTGCCCTCCCAAACCTCAGCTGGCCCAGGTAGCAGAATTCAAATCAGAAGGCACTGGGGCCCTTGGAATCCTCCACAGCAGGGAAATACTCTGGACCCCAACCTAACCCACTGGGCGCTTAATTTAGTTTATTTCCCATGTAGAAGAACCCTCATGACCCCCATTATACCAACAAGTATGCTATACAGCCAGACACCCCAGCAGAAGGCCAGAAAGATGGCGGAGCACCCCTACTGGGCACTGATAAGAACACATACTACACTTGATCTTAGCCAAAAGGCAGAGGAGGAACCACAGACAGACCTGGAAGTGCCAAATGATGACAAGTTGGACAGAGGCTATAGTGCTTCAAAAGACCAGGACCTTGGGAGAGGTAATATCTTTTCCACTGCAGGGACCTGCTATTAAGATTTTGTTTTGTTTTTTTGTTGACACTGTAGCTTTAATAATCTAAAGCCTTTAATGTGATTAGTTCAAAATAGCTTTTTGTTGTCTACCCACTGTAATATTTTCTCATTCTATGCCCTTTTTTTTAGCACTGCAATGCACAAATGTAGATAGATGAAATGGAACTAATTCCACCTAATTATTATGTAAATGTAACATTCATCCAACCCACTTGTGCTGCCAGATCTTACATGTTGGAATATCTGTGGGAATACTGTTTGGAATATTTCTATTTTTAGGTTTCCAGCTGTTTTGATTTCCTGTTTTCTTTGTTATACGCAGCATGTGGTAATAATCATTATTAGTTGTTTTCTGAACTCCATTCAAATACTAATACACCATTTAATCCAAAATTATATTCATGAAAAAATTAAATGTACACTATATATATGGTCAAAGGTATGGGATCACTTGATCCATTGCACCTGTAGGCAGGTTATCTTCCCCTCTGTAGGTGGCACTGTTTGGTTGGCCACTGTACAGAGGGAATGGAGGTTGAGATGAGCTTTGTTCCTCTGGAGCCTCTGTAGATGTCATTAGGGGAGCAGCTGTCTGATTGGACACATAAACACTGGTTGACCTCCATGGCCAGCTTGAGTAAGGACAATACTAATAAATAGCACTGTCCCACTGCAGTTGACATGCGTTTTCCAAATGGGCAGGGACAGGGTCCATGCTGATCAGGGACAGTGAACTTCGGGTTAGGGAGAGTTTCCTGGCGAGGAAGGACAGAACTGGGTTACCCTGCTGACTCTGCTATCTGGGGACTTTAGAGAGCTGGTAAAAGGTTTTAAAAATTTTATCAGTCTGCTGCGTGCTCCTGCACCATTGCTCTACCTATCAACCACCTCCAAGACTCAGTTGCTATTCCGATAACAGAAGCATTATTAGGGTAACATCTCAAGTGCTGGGACTCTATTAAAGTGCCACCAACTTTGCTGGGAACTGTTGCACTCAAATCGCCTGTGGTATAGAGACTCTGATGACATATTAGCTGGGACTGCTAAGTAGGTAACTTTCCACTCTTCTTCACATGCTATTTATTACTTCTAATTAACCAAGTTATAATGCAATTTTCATTGGTCTCTGTGTGTCTTATTCCATCTCGGGTACCAACCAACTGAACGCCCCCCCCCCCCCCTCCCCACCCACACAACTATCTATATGGCCATCCCTCTGACCATGTTCAGATGTTTCCAGTGAAGGGTTCAGTTAATTCTACATCTTTCAAAGATAGTTTAGATAATTGAGCTCTTCCAACCTTGTGGTAACAGTAAGGGGAGGACTTTTTTCTGTTCCATTATGACTGAATCCCTCTTAAAGCCAGCTCCATAAAGACATGGTTTGAACAGTTTGGTGTGGAGAAGCTAAAGTGGTCTGACCTCAACCCTACTAAATACCTTTGGGATGAAATGGAATACCAATTGGGAGCCACTTCTTCTCATCCAACATCAGTATTTGACCCAACTGTATTTAACACCTTCAGAATGAACTGGAATGCCAATTGCGAGCCAGATCTTCTAGGCAAAATCAGTACCTTACTTTGACCCTACTGAGCACCACTGGGATCAGGTCTTCCCATCCAACATAAATACCTGCCCTTAACCACACTGAAAAAATTTAAGATCTGGTCTTTCATCCAACATCAGTACCTGATCTCAACCTTACTGATCACCTCTAAGATCAGGTCTTCTCATCTGACAACAGTATCTGACCTCAACTCTACTGAACACCTTTGGGATCAGGTCTTCTCATCCAACATCAGTACCTGACCTCAGCCCTACTCAAAACCTTTGGGAACAAATCTTCCCATCAGACATCAGTACCTGACCTCAGCCCTACTGAACACCTGTGGGATCAGGTCTTCTCATCCAACATCAGTACTTGATCTCACAAATACTCCTTTGGACTGAATAGACACAAATTCCCAGACACCCTCTAAAATCTTGTGGAAAGCCTTCTCAGAAGAGTGAAGGTTGTTATAGCCACAAAGCAGGGCCAACTCTATGTTGATACCCATGATTTTGGAATCTGATGGCCAACAGCTGATATAGTTGTCATAGGCAGATATCCACAAACCTTTAACCGTATATAGTGTATGAAATGTTCATTAACGGTTATTGCATGCTGTAATATGGGTCTACAGTAGCGTATTACCTTCAGTGTATTAAGCTTTTTGTTGTTGTTTCAGGTTATTATGCATCCTCTGAAACCTCGAATGTCAACAGTTAAAGGAATAATCTGCATCGTCTTCATCTGGTTCATGGCCAGTGGATTTTCGTTACCTCATGCCGTCTACCAGAAGCTGGAACGATTTTATATTGGGTAAATTATTTAGGGCACCTTGCTTTCTTCCCTTACTTTATAATGCTTAGTATGTACACATTTTCAAATAAATTTTATAACATTTACGGGAAAGTAAATGTTGACATGAGTTTTAGATTAATACTGGTTTGCTGTTCCATATTTGAATTATTGTATATCATATAGTCACCGGTATATCAAGGAATGTAATTATCATTAACTCTTTAAAGTAGACCTGTCAGTAACTTTGCAAGTGTGCATGAACAAGTCTCATGATTGAGCCCCAAGGGCGGGGCGAAACATGTTGGGGGAATGGCTTGGATGCTGAGGCTGCTTTTACCTGCTAACCACTAGGGCCGGGTGAGATGTGCGGTGGTCCTGAAATCTTTTCCTATTTCTACAGCGTGCTATGGGTCTGGACAAACCTTTCCCCTTCCTGCACCCCAATTAGTCAGCGGCATCCAATTCATCAGATGTAGTTAGCCTGACCAGGGGCCACTAAGCATTTCTCGTGGGTCAGAAATTTCTGAGATGTCACAATAAAGTCACAAATCAGTATCATTATTCATTAAAGCTCCATTCTTTATTAAAAAGCCACTTTTGAGCTCCAGTCAATAACTTTGCCTAAGCTGCAAGGATGTCATCGGAGTGCTGCAGGTAGGAAGAAGCATTTCCTCAGTTTCCTCTCCCCAGTGGTCAGACTATAGCAAGTCACAAGGCTGCAGCAGGAGTTGATCTGTGTCACACATTTGCAAACACAGCCACCAGGATTTACATGATTGTGTCATCTCTGAGCCAGGATCTCGGTCCAGGGTGTAGATGGTGACCCTGCATGATGCCAGAACAAAGATGGCTTCGTCCAGGTCCAGCACAACCATAAGGTGGATTAGGCAACAACTTTAGGGCACCAGGATAGGGTGTGGTGGTAAAATCTGAATCTCCAGCCACTTGCTGGGAATTCAGATTTTTAACCATCCCGCAGACATGTTTTTTTTTTAACATACTCCCGGCCGCTATACCAGTTGGAAGTGTATGTACTTTAATAAAGCCAACTTTCGGCCTTCAATGTGGAAGTGATACAAGCGGTTGTAAAGCCATTGATCACTTCTACAACCGCCATGATGTGCCGACCTCCCATGCGGGCCCAGTAATGGTGGGAGTTGCTCGGAAGGGCGGTAGGAGCTCAGTGGACATCCACAGGAACATAGACAGCACTAACATTTTCACAATCAATGAAAACCAAATAAAAGTTTTACATGTAAATTTTAAGTTTTCTAATCAATGTGCCTACAGAACACCTGTACAGTTAAGTGATGTCCATCTGGGACAGATCTCCCCAGACATCGAACTACTTAAGTACAATGCATACAGACATATCTGACTTTTATGTACAGATAATAGCAGAATTTTACCTGTGGATTTCAGACACTTAACAGCGACAGAGATGCATTTGAGATATTCTTAGAGAATAATGCCAAAGCGGGATACAATGTTTGTACTTTCTTTTTTTCATGATGAATTATATTAGTTATACAGTTATAAAACAGACAAATGCTGAAAAAAGTTTAAACATAGAATATGCCATTAATAAAAACCCAATTTATTTTAAGTATACTGTATAGGGCCAGAAATTTGTTAGGTTCTCACCATCACACATAGGAGTATATTTGGACATCTCAGTCCAAAAACCGTGGCCATTGAAATGGGGTTGACAACCCCCTCACCTTTTCCATTAAAGCCATAAAACCAAAAAGCATGAAAAAAAAAAAAATCACACAGCCCTACCCCGAAAACCCACCTCATCTTTCTCTTCTGCAGTTTTACTTGGTCATGGCTGTCAAGACTCATTGATGCACATGGGGAGTAAAGGCTGGCCCGTGCATTCCTACTCAACAGAAAGTTACTGCAGCTCAAATGCTAAAAAAGTGAATGCTGGTTCTGACAGAAAGGTCAAAGAGCATCTCAGTTTGTTGTGTATGGGGCTGCATAGCTGTAGACTAGTAAGGGTGCACATGCTGATTCGTGTCCACAACCAACAGTGCCTACAATGGGGACTTGAACATCAGAACTGGACCATGGAGCAATAGAAGAAGGTGACCTGGTCTGAGGAGTTTAATAATGGTTTCAGGAAAACAACATGGAGTCTGAGGTGTTGACTAGACCTCCAAATTTTCCATCTGTCAATCCAATTGAGCATTTGTGAGACATGCTGGAAAAAACAGTGTGTTCCACAGAGGCCCCACCTCACAACTTACGGGACTTCAAAGTTCTGCTATTTTCTGCTTGGTGCCAGATACCACAGCATACCTTCAGAGGTCTAGTGGAGGTCCATGCCCTGACAAGTCAGGGCTGTTTTGGGGGCAAAAGGGGACCTACTCAGTATTAGGTATGTGTTGGAGTGACTTTTGAGAGTGTCATCCTTTTGAGAGTTGACACACTTGAGTACAGATTTAATAATTATAAGTTTTAAATTTTTTTAAATTTTGAATTTTTTTGTTGCATCTCAGTACTGTTGATCTTCTGCAGTCTTTTTTTTGTAGCCACTTCCTGCCTACATGCCCTCCATTGATAGCTACATGCCATTTCTCAGGGCAGATTTCCTGATGGTGACAACTGTGGACCATGCCACACATTACACTTTTCAAAATTTTTGCGGGTTACTCCTCAATTTTCACCATTATTAGAGTTTCTGGTCTCTAGATTTAGGCTGTGAAAGGAACGTCTCCTTATACAGTATACACATTGCACCCTCCTAGAATAGGTTGCTAGAGCGGTACAGGTATATTTTGTTTTCTTTGCTCCTCTGTAAACATTGGAGCAGTGTGTGCTTATTTTTGGCTTTTCTGGGTGTGCTGGAAGAGGCAGACCCTGAGCCTAAATATTTATGCAGGCTCAGTCAATCCCTGGGGGAGGTGGGGGGCAACCAGTGGGTGGCTGAGAAGGAGATAAATAGTTTGAGACTTGGAGCAGCAGTGTTCTTGTCCAGGAGGAGAAGATCCCAGCCTAAAGGGCTGCTGCCCTTCTGAGCAGGTTAGATAAAGCCTGCAGGAGTTCCCGGAGGTCTCAACTCAGTGGGAGTTAGGGGACCTATTGCAGATAGAGAGAGATCATGGAGATCCCAACTCAGTTTGAGCTGGGGGGAGGGGTTATTTTGCTGGATGCAGTTTGGGCCAAAGCAAGGGTGTGCACTGAAGATCTGGCCTGGGGATTCACAGGAGAAGTGTCTGGCAGGACAGGAGGTATTCAAGTATTTAGGGACAGAGTAAGTAGAGGCCTGGAAGCAGGATCCTAGTGACTGCATCAGTGTTGCTAAAGTGGAAGCTGGGTGTCCCAGATGTGCTTGTGTTCTCATAACTCCCAACTGTCCCTGATTTAGAACAAAGTCACTCATTCCTCCTCATTTGTCTGTCGTTTTGGTCTGATCCATATTGTTATATATAAAATTCATTTTTTTATGGCATCAGTTTAAGACACTTATGAGATCATTCAGAATGCATGCATAGGTGCATTTGACCAGCAGTAGTTTGCTTGTGACCTGCATTTGGCCTGCTTCAAAGCAGGTTTTGCCTTCCCATAGACTTAAATGGGAATGCAAAACTCACTTGAAATAAACGAAAACCCATCAACACACCATTAAATTTGTCTGGTCAGTTTTTGGCTTTGCTTGATGCTTTGTCCCCTGTTGCTCCTGTGGTTCCAAAGGTCCTACATCCACCAGCTGTGTCATGTAGGGGTGTAGGGGGCCTGTTAATGAAGCCCTAGTGTGCAGGCGGGTAGCGGGTACCTGATCACTCCTGAAGTGTCACTGAGTGACATTCAGTGGCATCGGTGGTGGAACAAGTATCTTTTTACTTCTCCTTGACCAAGTAGGGCAATATGACAAAACGACAGTGCTCAGACTCTGTATACTCCCTGAATCTACTTTCCCCCCACAACTCTCAGCATTTCTTCAGCTGGTGCTGTTGGCAGCTTGGGGGAACATTGACATCACTTCCTTGGTCATGTTGTAAGCCACCTCTTATAGCAAGTTCGCTAAGGCACTAGAACTTGTGGGACACTCCTGCACTTGCTACAGTTATAGGGGGTTGTAGGCTCAATTCTTCACAGCATCAGTGTTGTCAAAAGGAAACATATTGTGAAAGACTTTTCTTTTCAGGTAGCCCTAGGTCAATGCCCCAGGGCCCCACTGCAACACCAGGGCCAACAGAATGTCAAAGCCAAAGGACTCTTGGCGGAGTAGGGGAACACCCTTCAACAGGCCAACTGCCACTTTCCTGTACAAAGCCCATCCACATATCCTTTCCCCAAGCATAGGCCTAATCATTAATTCTGCAGAATAAGGGAAAAAACACAGTCCATCAAAGTCCTTTGCACAAAACATTTTCCTTATGTCATTTCAAAATTCTCCAAAACCACGTCAACTACTTCAACTTTTTAACAAACTCTTCAACTCAGTTCTCCAGTCTTCTGGTGTGAACCAATTACTGATAGTACCAGCGAAACAGTCCTGCTGACTACCAGTATAAATTGCAGTCTTCCTGGAATGGCTCCACAAGAGAGAAACACTCTGCACCCCCCACAGAGGGGAAGCTAGTTCCAAGTTACTCATAAGTAGGACTACAGGTACTGTGTGGTCTGTAGTGATATATGAACTTATTTCAAATGTTAAACGTAGTGATCTCAACGTAATAAATCAACAAAGCATAACAAATTCTTTAAATCAAACTATAACTCTAAGTCCATGAATCTTGTGCTTCTTAATTCAAGTGTATCATTCAACTGTGCAGTCTCATAAAGTGCTCCTTCAATGCTGCTCCTTTAATGGCTGTACAAGTCTAGTGCTCCACTCCTATGTGCTCACTCACTCTTTTTACCCCCTTCCTGCCCAGGCCAAGTTTCAGCTTTCAGCACTGTTGCACTTTGAATGACACAGTCATGCAACACTGTACCCAAACTAAATTTTTTTTTTTTTTTTAGACAAATAGAGCTTTCTTTTTTGGTGGTATTTAATCACCACTGGG